TATCTCCAAATTGAGGAAAAAATGTATAGTGCACCTGGACCATCATGGTTCTTCAATTGAAAATTTGACACTTGGCTTGAAAAAAATTTAATCTCTTTCTTCTCTTCTCTCATCAGCTTTCTCTCTCTCTCTCCCTCTCACTCCTCCGCCTCACTGAATGTAGTGAGCTCCAAGAGCACTAAATATGCTCTCCAAATTGAAGGGTGGAACATGGTCTCAATGGGGCCCCTTTTTTCCTACTGACAGTGTCCACTCTATTTCTAATGAACAAGAACATAAGTGAAAAACTTTGAACTATCATTCTTTATAAAACAAGCTCATTCTTACAAAACTCATAATATTATCAAATTATAAGTAGAGGCAATTTAAAAAAGAAAAAAAAATTTGCTTAGGCTGAAAGAGAAATTATCTTACAACCAAGCTACTATCATGCATCTTAGTTTCTGAACGACCTTAGGTGTCCCAAATCATCACAACCGCTATTACTCCAATGCCCAAAAACACCGCAAGAAACTTGAAATATGATGAGTCGACCTTCATTGGTCTGCGGGGTACATATCCCTTTGCCAATAGATGGTTTATTGATACATAGATAAACACTCCACAAGCTAAACCCATTGATATAGCAAAGATCCAATCAGCCACAACACCTTGTGTGGTTGCATCTAATACAATTCCAATGGCTACACCAATCGGACTAGAAATGGCAAAGGCAAAAGCATAGACTGCACATGATATTAGTGGCCGATTAGGCATCATCCTAAGAAGAGCAATACCCATGGCAATGGCTGCAAATATCTTGTGCAGACAAATTGTCCATAAAGCTTTCCAAGCATCTTCTTTTGTCTCAGCAACTCCAATTGCTAAGCCCTCAAACACAGAATGAGCACAAAGGGCAACAATCAATAAGATGGAATCTCCAATTGAACTGAGCGATGCAAGAGCAGGGTCTGCAAAGTGGTGATTGGTAACAGCTTGGCCCTGTTAGCATAGAAAACCATAAATTACTACTATATAAGTGATGACAAGCTTAAAATGATGCTATCACAAAAGAAGACTTTGTTTAGCACACATTTCACTGGTATAAAACTTTGAATATCTAACCTGGTATTGTGACTGGGAAGTAACACCATTGCCACTTCCTTTGCCCGTTTCAGCCCCTGCAGCTCGAACAAAAAAGAAAAGGAAGGTAGCTTTATGTTAGACAAAGTGAACCTAAGGATATTCAAATTCAATTTCATATTTGTTAAATCCATGTCCTATTTTAACAATAACAATCTTAAAAAGTGCTAAACAATAGTATAAGCCTGTATATACCCTGTAGAGCACAACACTTTGGAAATTCTATTGTGGACCTTCTGACTTACTACAACCCTAAACGAACCATATACTGAAATAAAGCAACCAGTGGGTTTTTCTTTTTGGAATTTCATATTTAAGCACCCTTTGAATTTTCAAATCTATGTGAGGAAAATATTGGGTACTATTTTTAACCCTAGTTTGTAAGCCCAAGCATGCACCACCAAAATTGCAACCATTTTAGCCCAACAAGTAACAGCACTATTCAAAGACAAAAGAACACAATTCTCAAAATCAAATGGAATTTCATGATCAGAAGACATGATATTGTTTCCAGCAATCAATCAGCTTAAAATTCACCATTCAACAAAAACGAAACAAACACAGACCAAAACTGTAATCACTTCAGCCCAAAAACACAGTTCAAAACAACGTGTTCAAAACATGATTTTCAAAACTAAAAAAAAAAAAAAACAAACAGAATCGCATGATCAAAATATATGACGATTTTCGAAGCAACCAATCAGCCTAAAATTCACCATTCAGCAATAACAAAAAACCAACCTTGAAGCTCAGCATCAACTCCATTAACAGGCTTATTCCTTCTCAGCTTCAACAAAATCGACGAAATCAAACAATCCAAAAGCATGGTTATCAAATAACCCATACACGCCAACATGAACGCAAAAGGGTACTCTTTTTTTGTCAAATCCGCAAAAGTCTCATTAGCATCACTGAGAAAATGCATCATAGCAGTTCCTAGAAACACCCCACCCGCAAACTGGGTCCCAAAAACCAAAAACCCCTCGTTCCATTTCAACACATAGGGCGAAACCCCAGACACAAAAGTGGCAACAAAAATCACAATCAGGCACCAAATCTTGGCCAGAATCAAGGGCCTTGCACGGAGGTCGGGAGAATCACCATCTCCGCCGGAGTCACCGTCGCCATCTCCGTCGTCGTGGTGGCCGCTGTGGGCTGAAACAGAAAAGAGGAAGAGAAAGAAGAGAATGAAAAAGAAGAAGATGCTGTAAAAGCGAGACATTGGGAAAAATGGGTTGCAATCCCAATGTCATGGTTTTTGAGAATTTGAAGTTGAGTTTATATAGAATGAAATGAATCATAGTCAATTGGGCAATTGGGGTGGTTGCATTTGAAGAGACGGTTCGTGACTTTGTACTACACACAGATGAAATAAAGAGACACCGTACTACGTTGGACTATTTTGGGAAACTGTTAAAAGCTCCAATCTAAACGGGAGAAAAAAAGCGTCTGTACTGCATTATTTGAAATGGCATTTTCAATTTTCAATAGTACATTAGTACTGTCATTACCTAAATTTGAGATAACTAATATTTACACAATCTGCAAAATTTAAAAAATGGGAAATAAGGAAAAAATATCAGTTTATACTCAATTTTCGTTATTAATCTATTTATATTTAACGATTGATATATTTAATAAATTAAAATGAGGAGGTTATAGTTTTTTTTTTGGTATAATCTGAAGAGTATCCATATTTAACCTCTTCTATGACCTAATCTTGTCACCGGAGTACGGACCCAAGGCTATCCTTTATTGGAAAGGATGAGACAAATACCTCATTCGAAGATAGAAACACGTCCTCTGGACTTCAAAATTTTTCCAAGAATTTGCTTGAGACAGGATTTGAACTCCTGACTCAAGCAAATCCTTGGAAACTCAGTTGCCAACTGAGCAACCCTTTGGGATTTAGTTATCACATTTTTTTCTTATTATCTCTTATTACTAAATCTTAATCGTAACGATTGTAATTTATTGAGTCATACTTATTAATTAATTATTAATTTTTAATAAATTATAACCGTTAGATTGACGGAAATCAACAGTTAAGATTTGATAGCAAGAAGTAGTAAGAAAAAGAGATAGAAAGTATAACCTCTTCTAATTAAAATTATTAAATATAAATAAAATTAACAACTAAAATTGAGATGATAATTTATACCGTTATATATGATAGATTATTCGTATATCAGTGTAAAAATTAAAAAAATGTTACACTAAACTTTGGTTATTATTTTGTTTATGTTTGGCGATTTATATATATAATATATCAAAATCATTAAATATAAGTAGATTAAATAATTAAGATTAAAAATATAATTTATTGATATAAAATGATCCTAATGCATATGAGGACGAATTATCTTATATCGATATAAAAAAAATTATATTAATTATAAATTTATATTAATGTTAAAGAGTGAGTGTCGTAATTAATTATATGAGATGTGATGTGTTCGGAGACTTTTCCTTGTAAACTTCTTACTGGTTTATGCGTCTCCTCACCGTTACCGTCAATGATTATGATGCATCGACACAGACACAAGATACGGGACATAATATTTTGACACGTTAATTCTAAAAAATATTAAATTTTGACACATTAAAATATGTTTTGATATTAAATAATATTTGTAATATATAATATAGTTTACATTTTATACATATAGCAACTCATAATAACTCATATACTAATTAAATATTCAAATTTCATAACATAAGCAAAAATAATATAACATCCCAAATGTAGAGTGTAGAGTGTAGACCACTCATAAGTTCAATTATTTTTATCTCCATCTTGAATAATCATTGGTGCTTTCATTGTACCTCCTGCCCTCATCTGATCCGTGACCAAGTTCAATTACTCCGGTCCGATCTGCATGCTGAGTTGCATACAATGGTTGAATCGGTTCGCGCTACTCACCTGGGCATACTGGGGTCCGGTCCAGTGGGTCTTGCTTCTTCTTCCACTGATACTTCCAATCACTCCCATGCTCAACGTCCTCGACTAGCGTTTCTGCGTTTCGCTTTCGGCGATCCCACCGATTGGCTTTTCGCAGTGGATCGTTACTGCCTGTACCATCAGATCCCGGATGGTGAACGATTACTCTTAGCCTCATTTCATCTCGATGCACCAGCTGCTCGTTGGTTCCAAGGTCTAAATCGGGATGGGTTATGTACATCGTGGGCTAATTTCACGACTGCCTTGCATCACCGGTTTGGCCCTACTGATTTTGAGGATGCCGCTGGCATGCTCACTAAATTGACACAAGTTGGATCTGTCGCTGATTACCAGATTCAATTTGAAAGTTTGTCCAGCCAGGTACGCAATATTTCCCCAGCTCTATTGAAGAGTATGTTTGTTAGTGGTCTGAAACCTCAGATCCGTCAGGCTGTATTGACGATGCGCCCACCAGACCTTCATGATTCCCTTGCACTCGCACGCCTGTTTGAAGACCAATTTTCAGATGAGAAACCCATTCATAAACCATGGGGTCCTCGAACTTCTCACCCACATGCCTTACCTGCCCCTCCTGCATTTACCCCATCGAAAGCACGCACCCCGGAGGCCTTACCTGCCATTCCCATCCGCCGATTGTCTCCAGCGAAAATGCAGGTTAGGAGGGATCAAAATTTATGTTATAATTGTGGCGAGCGTTATACGTTTGGTCATAAGTGTAAAGGCAAGGCTACACTTCTTTATTTTGCTGGCATGGATGATGAGATTGAATTTGAGCCTGACTGTGATATTGAGCCCAGCAGCCCATTGCCTTCTGAGGCAGTCATTGACCCCACACCGGTTCCAGAAATTAGCCTGAATGCCATGTTTGGCCATCACTCATCGCGATCATTCTGATTACAAGGTTCCATTCAAGGGCAACCAGTCCAGGTTCTCATTGACTACGGCAGAACGCACAACTTCTTATCATCTCGCATGGCCAACTATCTAGGTCTTACACTCTAGTCTATCACTCCATTTCATGTACAAGTGGGGAATGGTGAATCCATGGTTTGTCCAGCGGCTTGCTACAGTGTTTCCTTAGTAATGCAATCTCATCAATTTGTGGCTGATTTATTTGTACTTAACCTTAAAGGAGCAGATGTGGTATTGGGCATTCAGTGGTTGGCCACTTTGGGCCTGATTCTCACTGATTACAATACAATGACTATGTCCTTTACAATCCAAGATATATCCAATACGTTGCAAGGTGACACGACTATTAATCCAACTGTTATATCCTCATCCCAATTGTCCAAATTAGCAGCACACGATGGGCTTACTTCTTGCCTCATGTGCTTCACAGCTACAACTTTTAAGGAAGTTTGTTTAGAGGATACTACGGGCCTGTCCGAGGTCACCCACGTCGATCCGGTCATAGCCCAGCTTTTGGGCCATTTTTTGGATGTATTTGCCATTCCACAGACATTACCTCCTGATAAGACTCACAACCATCACATAAAGTTGCTGCCACATACTAAGCCTATTCAAGTGAAGCCTTATCGCTATCCCCACTTTCAGAAGTCTGAAATTGAGCGATTGGTACAAGAAATGTTGAACAGTGGTGTTATTCGCTCAAGCCATCTGATTTCAGCTCACCTGCACTGTTAGTTAAAAAAAAGACGGCACGTGGCGATTTTGTGTGGATTACCAGGCACTTAATGCTGTGACTATCAAGGACCGTTTCCCCATTCCTACAGTGGATGAGCTCCTTGATGAACTACATGGAGCTACTATTTTTTCTAAGCTTGACTTGCGTTCAGGGTACCATCATATTAAAATGCAACCTATGATGTTCCTAAGACAGCATTCTGAACTCATCATGGATATTACGAGTTCTTAGTGATGCCCTTTGGGCTGACTAACGCCCCATCTTCCTTTCAGGCCACTATGAATGAGATTTTTGCTGAATTTTTACGTAAATTTGTTGTAGTTTTTTTTAATGATATTTTAGTTTACAACCCATCATTGCAGGCACACATGGCCCATCTGGAGCAGGTGTTACAATTATTACGGAATCACCAATTTTTCGCAAAGAAGTCTAAATGCAGTTTTACTACTGCTTCTGTGACATTCTTGGGCCATATTATTTCCAAGGAAGGAGTGAACCCCGACCCAGCTAAGGTGCAAGCTGTTAAGGACTGGCCCATTCCTAATTCCCAAACTCAGATTCGCGCTTTTTTGGGTCTATCAGCGTATTACAGACGCTTCATTGAGCATTATGCTAGCATTGCCGCTCCCTTAACTGATCTACTGACTCGTGACGGCTTTGCTTGGTCCCTTAAGGTTTCTCAGGCTTTTGACAGATTAAAGGAATTACTGATTACAGCCCCCACACTGGTTCTACCGAATTTTTCCTTACCCTTTGTTATTGAAGTTGACGCTTCTGGGGTGGGAATTGGGGCAGTCCTGCTGCAACAGGACCACCCTATTGCGTTCTTTAGCAGGAAATTGCCCCCATTGATGCAACGTAAATCCGCTTATATCCGTGAGTTGTTTGCTTTGTCGTCCGCAGTAGCGAAATGGCATCAATACTTATTGGGGGCACCATTTATTATCCGCACGGATCACCAGAGTCTTCACTGTTTAATGACTCAGGTAATTCAGACCCCTGAACATCAGCAATTTTTATCAAAGCTACTGGGGTATGATTACTCGATCGTTTACAAGTCTGGAAAAACAAACAAGGTTGCTGATGCCTTATCCAGACGCCCAGACCATGTTATTTGGGGCTCCAACCCTCAACTAGCAGCCCTTACGGGCCCTGTTTCTAAGTATGGTTCTTTATTACAAACAGAGTTGTCCAATGATCCCTATGCTACTAAAATCATCACTGAACTACAAACAGACAGTTCAACTTGGCCACATTGGCAACTTCACAACTCTCTCTTGTATCACCGAGGACGTCTTTTCATCCCAGCTGGCTCCACGCTAATTCCCTTGCTCCTTGCCGAGTTTCATTCGTCCAGTTTGGGGGGGTCATGCTGGTAACCACATGACTTTGGTGCGTCTTTGTGCCAATTTCACTTGGACAACAGTAAGAAAATATGTTAAGACTTATATCCGGAACTGTGAAATATGTCAAAAAGTCAAGGCAGTGAATCACGCACCTTATGGGCTGTTACAACCACTTTCCATTCCGGATGCGATTTGGTCTGACCTCAGCATGAATTTTATCACCCATTTGCCTCCTTCGGCTGGGTACACCACCATCTTTGTTGTTTGTGACCGACTGACAAATGGTGCGCATTTTGCCCCTTTACCACCACGTTATACAGCTGCTAAGGTGGCATCAGTCTTTTGGGAGACCGTCGGTAAGCTTCATGGCCCATCGCAATCTATCGTTTCTGACCGAGATCCTCTCTTTCTGAGTGAGTTCT